TTCCAGGCCAAGAGACGCAGCTGGACCCTGGGACAAAGGCAGTATTGGAAAGTGCCCCATGATAGGGACACCCACTGTGCCCGTCTGCCAAGTCCTGCGATCTGACGAAGTCCCACAGCTGCCCAGTGCTGGGCACTCGGCCCCTGAGACAGTCAGCCACTGCCTCCCACCCGCAGCTGGTTCTGTGTCTCACAGGCCTGTCCCCCCCTGGGGCCATGGTGTGGTGACTGTTTGCCATCTGTGGATCCCATGGAAGGCCCTGGGGATCTCAGACGTGGCCAATCCAGACTGGCTTTTGCTGGGGACGTCAGCGGGGGAGTTGCCCAGTGCCCACACTATCCAGCAGTGAGGCCCACTGACCACTCCTCAGGCCACATCCCAAGTAGGCTCCAGCAGAACACTACACAGGAGAGCCCGAGGGTTGGGCCTGCCTGCCCCTGAGGGTGGCACTGGCCTGTGAGGGCTGCTAGAATGTGGGGGTGGCCACCCCATGGGGTGATCTACTGTGGAGCCTGATAAAAAATGAGGCTCAGTGGATTTAGTCACTTGCCCAGAGCTGCAGGAGGCCTGGCTCCAGGGGTGGCACTGGCGCCTGCTCTGTGGGAGACTTTGTGCTCCTGACACTGGGCTGACCCAACAGCCTGGGGTGCAGGGCACAGTCCCTAGTGGGCCTTCCCCTCTGCACCCTGGGTTGGGCAGGCCGTGTGGAACATCAGTGAGGAGACAGGCCCTTCTTCACACTCGTGTTCCAGATTGTGAACACTTGGGGGTGGCGTTGGTGAGCAGGTTCCTGGCTGAGCCAACCTGTGCCCTTAACTGAGGATGGCGAGGCCTCTGTTCTCTTCAGCATGTAAAGGTGAGTCCACCCCAGAGACCTCTAAAACTTTCTGGTCCCCAGAGGGCTGGGCCGGGCCGGGCCCTGGTATCTCATCGGCCTGCTCCTGGGCTTTTGCAACAGTCCAGACTTGGTCCCCCCGACAGCAGACCCTCCCTCCTGCCGCCATCTGGAAAGAGCTGCATTGTGGGGCCGTGGTGTGTTCCTGGGAGAGCCAGGTTGGAAAAAGAAGCCCAGAGAAGGCAGGGGACAGGGTGGACTCGCACTAGGTGGAGTGGTTTGATTTGGAGGAAAGACCTGGGGAGGGGAAGAGGGAAGAGAATGAGCACCAAACGCTGGGGTGGGGGAGGGGAGGGATGCTTTGGCTGGGCCTGGGCTGCCACATAGACTGACGGTGGTGACTGTGACACACGACATGATCACTGTACCAAAGCACACGGGGGCTGAACTGAGCCTAGGCCCCAATCAGGCTATGAGCCACCTTTTTTTTGTGGAAGAGTAAGGTGTGGCCCAGGGCTGTCCTGGGAAGGGGGCAGGTGAGGCTCCTGATGAGATTTTTAGGAGGCTGTTCCTGCTAGGACCTGAGACTAGGAATAAAGGGGAAGGGGAAGTTTCTCGTCCTGTCCTGAACCCTGTCATGCCACTCTTTTTTTTTTTTTTTAGTACTGGGGATTGAACCCAGGGGCACTTAGCCACTGAGCCACATCCGTAACCCATTTATATTTAGAGACAGGGTCTTGCTAAATTGCGGAGGGCCTTGCTAAGTTGCTGAGGCTGGCCTTGAACTTGCAGTCCTCCTGCCTCAGCCCCTTGCGCCACAGCTCCCAGCCCTGCCTTGCCACTCTGAGTCACCTATCCTGACCCATAGAGCTCAAGAGAGGATACTGTCCTCTTAAGACTCCGTGCTGAGTGTTTTTCTCTACACCCCTGCCACACTCCTGCTCTGGCCTGCAGGCTGGTGGCCCCAGTAGCACCGGCTGAGCAGCCCACAGTGGTCAGACTCCAGCTCATGCCTTTTGAGGGAGACCCAGGTCCCACTAGGGCTGGGGCTTGCTCCTGCACAGGGTTGCCAGGACACCCACCTGCGTATTCAGGAAAGCAGATGGTCAAAGGTGACTTCTTGATCTTCTCACCAAAGAGATCTTTCTTGTTGAGGAAGAGAATGATAGAGGTATCGATGAAGAACTTGTTGTTACAGATGGAGTCGAAGAGCATGAGCGACTCGTGCATGCGGTTCTGCAGCCCCAGGGTGGGAAGACAGGGAGACAGACAGCACCAGGAGACACAGACAGGGAAAGAGAAGAGCAGAATTAGGCTTGGAAAGGGCTCGGGCTACTCAGCAGCTCACAGGGGCCCCAGTGTCCCAGGTGCCTCCGAGAGGCTGACAGTCAGAACCTGTGAGCTGGGACACTGGACTCTGTCCTCGTTTCAATCTGCAGAGCACCTCAGCACCAGAGCACCACCACCTGTGGGCCAATGGCGACAAGGGACTGGGAAACAACCATGGATTTCTGGCTGAGGCTGACCCGGATCTTCTCTTTGCACAGCCCCCATCCGTGCAAGGTCTTGGGGAGGTGCTGGACGGGAACTGGGGAGCTGGGCTTCGGATCTGCATGTCTGCACCAACCCAGGGGTGGGCAGGGTCCTCTGGGAGTGGTGAGGGACTCCAGGCCTCTCCTGTGGTCCGAGGGGAACATCGCACCAGGCTGTTAGCATGCTTGGGGCTGTCACTCAGAGGAGGTGGTCCCACCCAGGACTCCTTCAGGGACGCGGGGGGACCGGGCACACCTCCTCTGGCTGGGTCAGGCTTGTCCATGCCTTACTGCAAGGGGCTGTAAGACCATGTCACTCCACACAAGGAAGCTGCTCAGCCAACAGAAGAATGTGACGGGACCCCGAGTAAAGCCAGGTCCTAGGAGGACCGGCTTTCCCCTGGGCCAGGACAGATAATTCTACTTTGGGACGCCAAGCATATTCACTTAGGTGATGTGTTTTTTGCAGTATGGGGGGCACACTTGTCTGCACAAGGATGTGGGGGAAGGGACAGCCTCTTTTATTGTCCCCAAGAACCCCATCTTAGTCCTGGGAACTTGTCACCATAAACCTGGCTCCATGGGTCCACAGCCTAGGTCCACAGGTAAGCCAGGCTCAACTTCATCTCCCTAGTTTAGACTGAAACAAGTTATGGCAAAGAGAAGACACCTGGGGTGGACACTGTGGACACTGTTAGCTGAGGGTGAGTTAGTTTTGGGCCTCTGGGATGAGAAACAGTAGGAGCTGGCTTGGTGGCCACAGCCGTCCCCCTGGATGAAGCAGCCACTGCTGGTCATTGAGGACCTCTCTGCCAACATGGTGCCCAGCTCTTCTCCTTGCTGTGTCATGTAAACTCATCAACCCTTAGAGGACAATGAGGTGACACCGCTGGAACCCTAGAGAGCAGAGACTGGTGGCACAGCTCAGTGGTAGAGGCTTGCTGAGGCTCTGGCTGGAGGCAAAATGTAAGTTGTGGCTTTTCCAGTCAGTCTGAGCAGCCAGTGACGGGTCCCCAGATCCTCAGTCCTTGCTTCAGTTACCTCCCCCACACCTGCAGGGTTACAGCAGGGCTCTGGTTCCTGCGGCTGCAGTCAGGGTGGCGACCGGGCAGGCTGAGCCCTCAGCTGCCCTCGGGGGCACCTGGACAGTCAGCACGGTTCTCACCCACTGTAGGACCTGTGGTAAATGGCTTTATCTTTCCATTCTGCCAAACACATCCAGTCGCCGCCGCTTAGGATTTCCTTACCCCCCCTAACCGCGGCTGGAAATTTTGTTCTCATTTCTCCCCCAGCGTCCCCCACTCCCCGTCATTCGCACTGTCACATTCAAGGAGGAGGAAGACTCCTTTGCCATCATGGTGGAATCTGCTCTGGAAAGTGCAAGCAGAGGTCGAGGGGTCAAGTGGACCCACGCCTGGGCCACCATGAGGGCCGAGCCCTCCTCCTGATCCACAAGGCACCCTGTCCTACAGCTGTCCAACAGACGAAAAGCCACAGCCAGAGGTGAGCAGTCCCCAGCTCCACAGCACCCGTGTCCCAACACTGCCTTGCTCCACAGAGGCTTGGGGGTGCAGTGCCACTGGGCACTCCCAGGACCAGAGGGAACCACAGGTGGCTGCTAGGGCAACCTGAGCCGGGAACAGGGGCTACGCACTGGACTGAAGTTCTCTTCCTCAAGAGGCCACCAAGCTTAGGTTTAGACGAGAAATCCAGGCCAGCTCCCCAGGAGCATAGGGCCTCACCTGCCGAGGCCCAGCCCTGCTGCCCACAGACGCAGACGCGTGCTCTTGCTCGAGGCTCACATTGATGATCCTGACTGGCCTTTGGGTGCAAGGCCCTGTGCTGGGCCACACAGCCAAGGGGCCACCAGGCCAGGCTCCTGCCCTCAGAGAGCTTACAATCTAGCAGGAGCAGCAACGCACACACATTTTAAAAGGTCTAAAGTCCGTGGAGCAGCATGGAGCTGGGGAGGGCTCTGGGGAGCAGAGGACACGCACAGTCAGACCTGGCCTGGTTGAGGACAGGGCCTTGGAGTGCCTCTGGCAAGGGCTGATCCTGGAAGTTCAGGAAGGGAGCCACTGGGGGAGGGGGCGGCGGTACTGAGACCCTCAACCCATGCCCCAGGCCTGACTGCCGTCCCTCTGGAGCCTGTCACCAAGGGGCCGGGGCACAGTGTGTCCACCAGCTTCCTAAAAGGGAAGTATGTTGAAATCAGAGACCTCACCACTTCAGAAAAGAGGAGTCAAGTGTCACAGATGGACAGTCACCTTTCTGTGGAGCTACTGGGAGCCGTCCCCAGGGTCATCTCCTCCACCTGCCCAGGCTGCAGTGGAGCCCGAGAGCAGCCGGATAGCCACGCCCGGCCGTGCAGCCCCAGCCCGTCACGCCGGCACCAAGCACACAGGACACCAGGACTGGGACGCAGCTCAGACCAGGACACACCTGCCTGCCTCCCAGAGAGCCTGAGGTGGACAGGGCGACTGGGCACCTGGAGTCCTATCCCCAGCAGGACTTGCCCACGCCACCAGGCTGTCCACAGCCCCAGGACTGGGGTGGCACGAGGACGTGTGTTGTGCGGGTGCGCCTGGCGGAGGCTCCTTGGCACTGACTGACACAACACATCACACTCACGCTAGAAGGAGCTGGCACTGTTTATTAACAGTAGGTGACTAATAAATACATTACGGCAGCCAATAAATTATTACAATAACTAGAGATTTATTAAACCAACAAGTCAACTCTTCTTACAAAATTACAGTTAATACGGGGTGGGTGGTGGCGGCCGGGTTGGGAGGTGGGACACTGGACCTAATTCGGTTCTGCTAAGGAAGGAGTGGGAGCCCCAGCCCACCCTGCCTGGGACTGGGAGGGTGCAGGCAGGCTGCAGGGTGGCGGGGAGGCTCTGGGAGGCAGAGGAGGTGCAGCCAGAGGACCGGTCAGAAGCGGCAGGCAGGGGAGATAGGGAGGTGAGGGGCTGCTGCCCGGAGCTGGAGGGCAGGCATGGCACTGGGAAGGTGAGAACTGGCTAGGTGAGCGGCAGGTGGGGCTGCGAAGGGCCCGGTTAACCAGATGGCCTTCGTGCACTGGGCCTGGCAGAGAGCCGCCTTCAGAGGGAGCCCCTCTCTGATGGAGAATTTCAGGACTTTGGACTTTCTGCTTTAGCCCTGGCCTGCCCCTTCCTTGACAGGGGACTTCATCTGGCTGGGGAGCGGCCTGTTGGAGTCCCCAGCTCTACTCTCCAGGCAGGATAGATTCAGGACACTCCTCGCTGAGAGGGTAAGGCTGGGGAACCCTGCCACAGGCCCATGGCATGGCTCCAACCTGGCCCTGTTCCCTGGGCTGCCCTGTAGACCTGTGGCCTGCACGGGGAACTGTCTGTGGGTGCCACCTTTGGCACCCCAGGTGGAACCCCTGGAGACACAGAGCCAGAGTCTCAGGTCTTGGTTCCTAAGAAGTGCCAGTTGTGCCTGAAGGCCTCCACAAGGCTCAGAGGAGGCCCCGGCCCCAGGCTTCTCTAAAGGGGGTGTGTGCAGGCTGCTGTGGGGGCTGGCCGAAGGAGACCTAGGGCCCCTTAAATGGCCCTCCCTGGTGGTGGTGGATCACTTGCCAAGAAGAGTGCGCTGGGTCAGAGGGAGCGAATGAGAGGGACGGGCGGTGAGGAAGGGTGCAGGCTAAAGGTAGGTAGGACTTCCAGTGTCTGCCGCTGGGGACTAACTGATGGACGACAGGAGGGAGCGAGGGCTTGTGCTGATGGGAGGAGAGGGCTTGGGAGAGGTGACTTTCCTTTTTGGGGTTTGCAGACAGCCTACTTATAGGGCCGGGGTGGAGGGATTTAGGGCTGCTGACCCCTGGGGACCCAGCAGGGTGCCTCCAGATCCCACAGTGGGTGTGGAGCTGGGCTGGGTGCAGAGCTGCCTCCTGGCACCTGACATGGTGGAGGTTTTCTGCCTGGGCTCTGCTGGGTCAGCACATCAGGAGCAGGGTCTCCACAGTAGGTGGTCACAGGACCCTGAAGGCCGGGGCTGCTGGTGAGGGGTCCAGGCTGGGCTCTCTGCTCAGACTGCGAGTGATACCCTGTTCCCGATAGAGTCCAATGGAGCCCCTCCTTAAGCCTCAGGCGGACAGCACCTGAGCCAGTCCCCAGAGCCTTGGGACTGTCTGTCAGTGCTCAGAGAAGGCAGAGGGACAGCTACTGCGCAGGGCACAGAACTTGCTCACAGGCATCTCAGTGATAGGCACGTTTTTACGAGTTTGGCAAAGGCACCCTTCCTAGACGTCGACCTGCGGGTCAGAGCCACTCAGAGCTTAGCACAGCCCCTCTGGGGACACACAGAGCCACTGTGGACGAGACCCATCCTTGTCCAGTCACTCCCAACATCTCCCTCACAACCACATCCACGACGGAGCCAGACCTCACCGGCCGCCCTGATTGTCCCTGGTGGTGGAGCTGCTCTGATGACATGGAGAGGAGAGAGGGCCTCGCTGGACACCCTCTCCCTCTGGCTTATACCAGACAGCTGAGGTCCCTGGCCTCAGCAGGCCAGGGCAGGGCGGCTGGGACGGCGCAAGACACTGATCAGGTCGGAGCAGCTACAGGAGAGAGGCATCCTGGAAGGCCGGCCACCTCCCTGCAATGCTGCAGGTGGGAGGGCTGGACCCACATCTTGACTGCAGCCTGGGCTCTGGCCATTGACTGCCCCTGGGGAGAGAGAGCCCTGGGGCTACAGGGTCAGTGACTTCCACCACAAGGGTGATGGCCTTAGAGATGGGGTTGGGCCACTATCCCACCTCTTGCCAGGTGCTTTTGAATCTGCAGTCACAGTCTGGGGCAGTTATGAGCACAGCTGGCCACACCCAGGTGGTGATGCTGGAAGCATCAGCTATGTCATCAGTGTGGGGCAAAATGACTTAAATGGCCTTGACTGTCCATGGCAAGACCTTGAGGCGGTTGGCTGTAAGGGCCTGTCCTCCACCATATCCCCGCACCTGGCACAAGGTCCAGAACATGGTGGAGGTGGACATAGTGGAAGTGGGTTTGGGCTGATGGGATGGTCCTGCAGTTGGCAGGGAAGGGCTCTGCTGGAGGCCCTGTCTCTGTCAGCTTTTGGCAAGAGGGAAGTCCCCATCTCCCTGCACCACCTGCAGCTCTGTGCCTGCTGAAACCAACGAGCCCAGAGCCATGGGCCTGGGGCTCTTCCTGGTTCCTGGGCAGCCCCAGGGGAGTTCAGGCTCCTGCCTGGCCCGGATGAGCCACACTGTGTGAGGCTGGGAGGACACAGGGCTCAAGGAGGGAAGCAGAGGCCCTCAAGAGGCAGCCCTTGCCCTCCTGGGGTCCGCCTGGTCCCTGGGCACAGTCCGCCACACAAGTGAACAGGCCTCCTGGGCTGCTGGCTGTGGGGTCAGCTGACTGGAGGTGCCGGAGTGCGAGGGAGGTGTGCTCACTGCTCTAGACAGGGCCAGGACACAGAAGCACCCCAGCCCCTTCTGCTCAGGGGTCTCTGCAGCAAAGTCGCCAAGGGATCCTGGGACCCTCCCTTTGGAGCAGGGAGGGCAGGATGTGTTCGAGCTGGCCTGAGCTCCCAAGAGTGCCACTCCAGGGTGTCGGTTCCACCCACCAGCTCTCCTCTTCCCCTGAGGCTGGGAGGTCACCAAGGGCTCCCTGATTTCTTGACTAAGATGGACCAAAGTGGGCACTGGCCACAGAGGCCTGACCCAGACCTCCCCTGGGCCTCTATGCCTTCAAAAACCCCAGTTCAAAGGCCCTAGCCTGTCCCTGCCATCAAGCTGGACTCACTGCAACCAGGACAAGAAAAGCACATCCACTCACCCTGGAGCAGCTGAGCTGGGAACTGGACCAAGCAGGTGGCTGTCCCCTGCACTTCTCCCCACCTCTGTCCTCTTCCCGAACTCCTGCCAGGTGCAGGCCTTGACCCCTCCCACCATTGGCCACTACAGGCGGTTGGTCGGTCTCAGTAAAGGTTGGATTAGGGATCTGGGGAGGGCAATGGGCAAGGGAGGATGCCCAGAGGGGGAGGGCTGAGGCCTGAGGGAGGGGGAGGCACTCGCCAGGCCTGAGCCCCACACCCACATGCCCGGTCCCACCCTGGCTTTTGGTGGTGGAGCAGCCCTCGACAAGAGACCCCAGGCAAAGCTGAGGGATGGCTTCTATTACCCCACAAACTTGCCAGCACCCTGCCTCAGGGCCGTCCTGATGATGAGAAGAGGCCCCAGGACTCCGGCATGAGTCATGGAGTAAGGACATGCCCATTCTGGGCCAATGGCGGCTCAGTACCCCCCTCCCAGCTCTGCCAGCCTCGAATAAAACACTATGAGACGAAGCAGAGGCCAGTGAGCAGCACTCAGGTGGTGGCGTGGTGGTCACCAGCCTTGCAGCACTCAGCACCCCACCAGCCCCTGTCACCATATATCCACTGGGAGCGGTGGTGTGGGTGACAAGGGTGCTCCCGCCTCCACCCCTGGCGCCAGCTTCTGGGTTCTTCTTCCTCAGTGCAAAGAGTGGCCTGAGAGGTGGCAGAGCTCTGGCTCCAGGGGAGGAGTGGGTGCGGTCTGGGTAGGGCGTGGGCAGCCTGGCAGGAGGCTGGGGCTCAGTAGAGTCCACAACCCCGTAGGTTTTTGGCGATGATGACGTCCGTCACGGCATCAAAGACAAACTGGATGTTGTTGGTGTCAGTGGCGCAGGTGACGTGGGTGTAGATCTCCTTGTGCGTCGACTTGTTCTTGCTCTCGTACTGGGCCTGGATGTACGCCACAGCTTCCGTGAAGGCGCTGGGGCCTGCAGGAAGAAACAGGCAGTGGGCATGAGGGGAGGCACTGCCCCGCGTGGATGGCCCCTGGGCAGCCGGTGTGACTGTCAGGCAGGGGGCCGCGGAGCAGATGCCAGGAGCCTCTCAAAGACAAGCAGGAAGGACAGGCTGCTGGGTGGGGTCCTGAGGGGTCGGTTTGTCAACAGGTCAGTGGTTCGAGTCCAGTGTAGGTCACGAAAGAAACAAAAGCTGAAGTCTCCCAGGGACTGCCTGCACTAAGGGGGACACTGTCCCAGGGAACTTTGTCTTCCTTTTACAATGCACCCACCGAATCCTGACGCAAACTTCACATGTTACCATGGCCAGGAACACAGAGGTTTGAAAGTGCGGTCTAGGTAGGTGTGCCCTCTCTGTGAACCTGCAGCTCGCACACCAGATGCTGGGCAAGGCTGGCCTGCCGTCTGCTTGGCGATCGTGAGTCTCCTGACCTGCTTCCCCTTCTCCCTGCCCACCTCCCTCTTCTGGCTTCGCTCTCGGGGGAGTAAGACACCTGGAGCACCCTTACTGTCTTCCTCACCTGGAACCATATTGTTCTGGTTCCAGGTGAGCCCAGCTGCAGGCTTGGGGAGGAGCAGGAACGCAAGACCTTGTCTTTTTCTGAAGCCCCACAACCTCTTAGAACAGCCAGGCTGTGACCCCCGGCAAAGGCATGGGTGGTGAGGAAACGCAATCAGGCCAGTGCAAAGCTGGAGTGGCATGCCTGGGGGAAGGTCCTAGTCACTCAGGCCCAGGCACGAAGGCCACAAGGCCTGGCCTTGAGGGACTACCACACTTGGGCTGGGGTGAGGGGAGGGTCCTTGGGACAGCAGGTAACTCTCGGACTCCTTTGGTTAGGGGTACACTCCCTCCTTCTTTACCCCAGCTCCAAACTGTCCTGGTAGCCGACCTACCATGTCTGCTTCTATTGCCCCACAGGACACTAGCCGTGGTCACTTAGGGCAGGTGTGTAGGAGTATGCTAAGCCCTGCCCATCTCTGGCTGGATGTGCCCGACCTATGGGTGGGGTGCCAGTGGCGGGCAGGAGGTAGAAAGCTGCCCCGCCTGCCCAGCCCCAGGCACGGCCCACAGACCCACCCTGCTGGGGCTCTGCCCGCCCCAACTCTGTGCTCTCCAGGCCCGAGGGTGACTAGGCTGAGGGGTCACCACTTCTCTCACTCCCTGGCCTGGCTATCTGGGAGGAACTGATGAGCACCAGGGTACCCTGGGGACCTGCTGTCACATCCTACTGCCACCTGATGGGGGCGGCCAACCTCATCGCAGCCCAGGGCTTTGCTTAGACTGCCCTCCTGGCTGCCCAGCTTCTCAGGGTCAGCAAAGTCCATCACAGCACTGATGGCCATCCTCTTGTCCCCAGAACTCTCTACGGGATGGCCAGGGTCCTGCTGCTTGCCAGGCTCTGTCACACTCACTAGGCCATTTGAACCTTGTAGCTACCCTGTGTGGGAGGTGCTGCTGGGATGCTTGTCACCACGATAACCTCATGGTCTGAGCAAGACGGCAGTGAGCCCACAGCGCATGCCCGCCAGGCTGGGCTCCGTGCCACGAGCTCACTGCACCCTCACAGTGGCGGTGAGGGAGGAAGCTGTCGCGGTCACCCCATCTCACAGACATGGAGGCTCAGCAAGGTCATGTGACTGAGCAGCTGAGCTGGACCTCAGGCTGCCTGAGTCCGAGCTCTGGCCTGTCACACTTTGTCATCTCATGGTTCCCTCTGTGTATACAACCTCTGTTTACGGTTGAGGTTGTTGGGATCGCAGGGCTGGACATGCCAGCCAGGACCCTCGCCCTGAGGGCTGCTTGGCGGGAGGGCAGGTGCCGGGCTGGGCTCTTGGTGGTGGAGCCTAGGGCACCTGCACAGCAATGAGAGGGGCCTGCTCCCGTGGCAGTCCCTGTAGCCCCCAGGCCCCTGCTGTCCTGGGGAGGGTCTTCACCTGTATATTCAGGAAAGCAGATGGTCAGAGGGGACTTCCTGATTTTCTCTTCAAATATGTCCTTCTTGTTGAGAAACAGGATGATGGACGTGTCTGTGAACCACTTGTTGTTGCAGATGCTGTCGAACAGCTTCAGGGACTCGTGCATGCGGTTCTGCAACAGAGCAGAGAGCCGGGTGAGGGGTGGCAGTCCAGGCCCTGACCCACCACCGCCACGACACAGCGCGACAAGCAAAGGGAAGGTCCACCAACGCAGTTGAACGCACCACCGGGGACAGAGACAGGAGGGCCCACGAGGACAAACGAGATGTGTCCCTGCTTCATTCCACGTACAGGCAGGGTGGGGCGGAGCAGGGACTCATGGGGAATACTGTCCCCTTCCACGGGGAGCTGGCCTGGGGGGGGCCACGAGGTCACTGGAGAAACTCTAGCCGGGAGAGGACATGCACCATGCACGCGGAGGGTGGGGCCGCATGCCGCGGCAGCCGCCCACAAGGCACGGCAGGTCATGCAGCTTCTCTACGGGTCTCATCGTTCCGCCAGCGAGGTCGGGAGGGTGCACGCATTCAGTTGGGTGACATTAACCGAGGACCAAGACAGCCTCGAATTAATCCAGAGTTGGAAGCAGACACCAGGGGGACAGCGTCTTGGGGGTGATCTTGCTGTGGCCTGGGTTGGTGGTGATTTGGGCAGTTGGCCAGGCCATGGGGAGCCCGGGGAAGCTCTGGGAGAACAGGTGGTTGGGACTGGTTTCTCAGCAGAGGGGCCAGAGGAACCCCAGATGAAACAGCCAAACAGATTTCGACCGAGCGGAAGAGGAAATCCCAGCAGCAACCACGAGGGAAAATGGGGAAAAAGGAAAGCACTGGCCAGTCTCAGAGCCTGGAGGTCCAGGGCAGTCTGTGCTGAGGCCCCGCGCAGGCTCACAGAAGCCAAGGCGTCAGGCCGGGGACAGCATGGCTGCAGAGGGAGGCTGGGGCAGGAGGCTGACTTGAGCCAGTGGCCCCGGGAGGGGTGTGGGTGAGGTGGGCCGGTGGTGTTCACAGCAAAGTCACCCCACGGTTCCCTGACAGACTGCTGCTTTCAACTCTTAGTTGATGGCTTCGATTGGAGGGAGGCGCTTCATACCTGCCGGGCTCGAAGGGTCTCTCAGAATCGGCTCATGGTTTGGCCTTGGTTTGGCAAGATAAGGCCCTGGTAGGCGGTGGTGACAGTAGAGGTTGTGGCAGCCCGCGGCTTGGTGTGTGGTGCTGAGAGCTGGTACGAGGACAGGATGAGCCCTCGGGGTCCCAGGGTGCGGCGGGCAGGGTGACCAGTCCGGTGGGTGGCAGTCACTAGCCCCAAGGTCCTCCTGGCTTTTGCTCCAGGAGCTGCCTCCAGGCACCTCTGTCTTGGGCAGCCCAACTCTCGCCCCGGCCAGAGGGAAGCACAGGGGTGACCAGAGAGAAAGGCTGAGGCCGAGGACTCGGTCCCTGGTGCCTACATCCTGCCTCTGGGGTGGAGCACCCACATGCAACGACTTGCCCTCTGGCCACAGCATCTGGGTGCAGGAGCAGCAAGGGTCATCCCCAAGTGATGACTCTGGGTGCCAGCACCCAGCTTTCAGCCCAGGGGTCCCCACAGCTGCCCACAATTTCAGTCGACCATCACTGCCATTTTTAGAAGCGGCCCAGGGAGGCTGGGGCAAGACCCTGATCACGCAGGGGACAGGCGGTGCCAGGCCCTGGACCATATCCACTGAACGCCGGCTGCCCACCTCTGCCCACCAACTGCTGAGTTCCTCGCGGTGCCGCTGTGGCAATGGGCTGCTTTTGAGTTGAAACGCCGACCCCATTCCCTGGGGGCTGCTGTCCTTCCCTGGGCGGTGTCAGTGGCCAGTCTTGGAGAGGGAAGGGCCCGAGGAACATCCCCGTCCTGACTCTGGCCCATATACTTTTCTTCCCCAAGGTCCTCTGCTCCTGGCTTGTGCAGAGAGCAGTGGAGATGAGGGAAGGGGTGAGAGGAACGGTGAGGCAGGGAAGAGAAGGGAAGGGTCCAGGACAGGGCCTGCTCTGCCACCAGGGCAGGTGAGGAGTTCATGGGGAGGCCGGCTGGGCACCACTCAGCCCTCCTATTCCTGGAGATCCAAGGGCCATGGAGCTCGGTGCCTGTGGTTGCTGGGGCCACCCAGACCACCCATGGCTGATGGCCTAGGCCTGAGCCTGAGCCGTCTGAGGTCTGGCAGGGCAGGTCAAGGGAGAGGCCATACTTCTGTGGGAAGGGCCCACCTGCCCTGCAGCCTCCAGCTCTCCCTCTCCTTGCCACCGATGGCTGGAGGCAGCATCCACTCCCATGTGTGGCCAGGAGAAAAGGCGAACCAAGCCAAGCTCAGACCATGGACTAGCCAAGGGGACAGTGAACCGTTGCTCTCATAGCACAGGGTCAACCCATGGAGCAGTTAAGGATGCGCTGGGACAGTCACCCTGAGGCACACATTGCCAGGAGCTGTCTTGGGCTTCGGGTGGTCACTGTGCCTGTGGCCCTAGGGCACCCAGGGCATGTCTGCCCCTGCCCTACATTCAGGGTCAGGACGAGGTTGGTGCCTCCTCAACACCCCTGCCTGCAAAGGTCACTGAGAATGACACAGCTGAAACCCAGCCCAGGGCAAGTGACACAAGGTGCGGGTCCAGATCACCCTCACAGCTGGTGGCTTTGGCTCCACCAGTCTGTGTGAGCCCCTCCAGGTGGCACCCTCCTGCCATAGCACCACACCCCCAAACCCATCCTGTCTTCACAGCAGCTCTGTGGTACCAGCAGGGCTTGGCTGACGAGGAAACAGGGACACAAAGGGAAGACGGACCTTGCTCGAGGCCCAGCCTGACAGCCCCTCCTCAAACCCCCAGCACTGTCCTCGAAAGACTCAGAGTGAAGGACAGAGGCTGGGGAGTGAGTTCCCAGCCCACAGGCCCTGCTCCAAGGCCCCACTGGGTTCCCCACGCAGAAGAGTCTGGCAGGCCCCTGTCCTTGGGCTGTAGCCATGGGGCCACCTGGCCCAGGGCCATCGCCAGGGACAATACGACCACCAGCTTGGTGCTGCTGTGCCCAGAACAGTTCCAGTACTGCCATGGATCACTCCATCCATGCCTAGCAGCCTCCCCAAGCCAGGGTCCGTCACTGTCCCCTCTTTATAGGAAACAGTGACCAAGGCAGAGAGGAGCTGCCTCAATTCAGCAGCAATGCGATGCTAGCAGACCTAGGACCGGCCCTGGGGACGGCTGCAGACACTCTCCAGGTGACTGTCCCCTCTGCAGTGGGGGGCAGTTCTCAAAGGCCAAAACCCGAGGCCCAGAATGAATGTGGCGCAGGGACAGCATCCCACCGACGCAGACGGAGCCAAAGCCACACCTGTTGTTACCCACCAGTGTGCCTCCACCCACTGCCCTGCTCAGCCTGCCAGCCACACCCCTTCGTGCAGCACCCTGGTCAAAGCCCCAGAGGGCGGGGAGACTAGTTCTGCTGTGTATGCGTGCTCGCTTGGCCGAACTCTGACTTTTAAGGATTTGCTTGATCCTGTTCTGGCCTGATGGCCCCCTGACTCTGCTGAGTTTACTGAAGGCGCATTACTGCCCAGGACGCAAGTTCTGCTGAGCTCTTTGTGGTCGGTTTGCACCCAGCCCCTGTGCTCTCTTTGCGGCGCTGAACTCCCGAGGCATCTTCCCTGGCAACACGGACTGAGAGCGAGCCAGCCTGACCCACCCACCAGAGGACCCCAGAGCCGGCGGCAACGGAGGCCCCCAGTGCTCCAGGGCTGGCCTGTCCTGCAGTCAGCCCTTTCAGTGTCTCCTCAGGCTGGGTGGCCAGCCCATGTGCTGCCCCTGCCCAGTGGGCCCAGCCGACTCACCGTGGTTTCGTCTTCGTGGAGCACCTGGTCATAGCCGCTGAGTGCGACACAGAAGATGATGGCCGTGACGTCCTCGAAGCAGTGGATCCACTTCTTGCGTTCAGATCGCTGGCCCCCGACGTCGAACAGCCTGCCAGGAAGACAGGAGCTGATGGGCGGTGAGGTCCAGGCAGGTGGAGCGCCTGGTGGTCCAGCTCAGTGGCCTCTCAGGGCCCCACGAGGGGTCCTCACTCCAGGTGATGACTGACTGAACGACAGACCACTGCCATCCCTGGGGCTGGTGGCAGCCATCACTGCCCCTTGAGCCTCTCCCAGGACCAAGCTGTGCTCACGTGGAGTGACCTAAAGACCTGCCCTTGCACCTGAAGAATCACTAAGGGGCCCAGAAAATGCCCCAGGGAGCCTCCCTCCCTCGGAACACTGACATGCTCTTCCTTTCTGCCTGTATGCTGTGGACAAACGGAAAGCCTGCCCAGACAGGAGACAGGAGGAATTGTCACCTGCTTTGTGGGTGGGAAAAGTGGGCACCAGGAGCCTAAGGATGTGCCCAGCTCCTGCTGTGAGTGTGAGTGCAGGGTGGCTGGGTCTGACCGGCCTCTGCTCTGCACTGTCCCTCCACAGCAGTCTGAGGGGAGCTCTGGCCGCCCCTCAGACTGCATCCCCCAGGGCCTGAGGCTGTGGGAGGAGGCTGCAGGCTGGTGGGCAGGTCTTGGAAATCTAAAGTCAGCGTCACATCCTAACTGATGAGCAAGGAGCCCTGCAGCCTCCCGGACCCGGGAAGCTGACTGTCAAACAGCTGCAGAGGGGGTGACCTGGCCCTGCAGGGACAGGAATGGTCCAGACAGAAGAGAGCAACTGCAGGCACAGATCAGGGCCAGTGGAGAACAAGGAAACGAGCGAGGGTCTCATTCTCTTCCTGCCTCCTGTGGACCCCACCTCCCCACCTGTAGCCCCTCAGCATCTGACTGCTGGCCAGGGCTTCAGGGGTAAGTAGGGGACACGGAGGAGACTGGAGGCCTCTCAGAGGGCACTACTGCATGCTGGGTGCCCAGCAGGCTCCCACAGACTTGCAGAGGGGCTGCCTATGGCCCAGGAGCCTGGATAGAGGCTCAATCCCTCTGGCTGCACAGGAATGGCAGGAGGCCAGGAAACAGGACCTTGCAGCTGTCCACCAGCCTGAGGTCCCGGCCCTCCCTTCCCTCCTGGCCTCTCTTCTTGTTCCATTTGACACCCAGAAACCACACCTGGAAGGTGGGGCAGGACAGGCGGCCAGTCCTCAGTGCACCGAGGTCCCCCAGGGAAAGGACCCTCCCTCAGGGCCTTACACCTCAGGGCCCGTTCAAAGAGACTCAGAGCCCTTGGGTCCCAGCCCCTGGGTCTGTGCCTTGGGGAAAACTTGCTTCTCTCAGGCCTCAGTCCCCAATATGTTCTAGGAGAGGGGGTCCGCTGCTCTCTAAAAGCCTCTACCTCTGAGGTTAAGTGAGTTCTTGGGTCTCACAGACATCCCTTGGGCTTACCTACCCCTAGTCCCCACCATCTGGCCCTCTAGTAATTACCTTAGGGACAGTTTTCCTCTCCTTTTCCATCCAAATCCTCCTTTTCCTCATAGACCCATTCCAGGACCCCCCTCCTCCCAGGTAGGCCCCCTGCTCAACCCAGCCTTGAACCTGGCAAAAATAAGCGCATAGGCCTGCCACTTCTGGTTCCTAAGTGCCTGTCCCAGTGTGAAAGTGTCCCCAGGCTGGGAGCTCTCTGGCTGTACTGGTGAGATGAGGTTGAGAGCCCGGGCATCTCCTGTCACTCTGCCACCCTCACCAGGGTCTGGCTGTCTCCTGGGCCTCACCTGAAGTGGAGGTTCTTGAATGTGAAGTGGGTTTCTACGATGCCGGTGGTTTTGACCCTGGTTCGGAGGATGTCCTGCTCGGTGGGCTGGTAGTCGCCGGCCCCAATCCGATCCAGGCTGTCTAGGTAGCTGGGGATGGCAACACACAAGGCACCATAGACCCTCCACCTGGGCACTGCTCAGGGCTCACTGGGTCACCCACTTTCAGAGTCCAGCATCAACCCGTGCCCATTGAAGGTAACCATGGTGGCCAGTTGGGGATGTGGGGACAACCAAGCAAGAGAAGCTTATGCTCCTGGGCTTACAATCCCAACGAGCTTCTAATTCAGACCCAAGGGGGTGTGCACACAGCTCCAGGCACACTGACAAGCCTTGTAGAGAGGACTACCAGGTTTTCAGGGTCACCTTGTCATTTCTTAATTTAAAAAATAATGAAGGCACCAGGCATGGTGGTGCACACCTGTGATATCAGCTATTTGAGAGGCTGAGGCAGAAGGATTGCAGGTTTGAGGCCGCCTGGGCAAATTAGTGAGACTCTGTCTCAAACTAAAAAGCCAAAGGGGCTGGTGTGTGGCTCAGAGGGACAGCCTTCCCCAGCACACACGAGGCCTGGGTTCAACACCAACCCCCAGCCCCCCAAAAGTGAGCATTCTATTCTTTGCATGTGATCATGATTCATCCTGAATCTTCCTGGGTCAGACATACTGTTTTATAGATTAGAAAACTCAACACAGGTAGGGCCTGGACACAGGGGAGTCCAGACACCAGCCTCCACAGTTCACTCTCAGTTCTCACTCAGTGGTGCCCCACGAGGCCCTGAGCATCCCTGCCCCTCTGTACTCCTTCTCATTTACCAGGGGTTTGCGTGTCTCTTCCCATTTGAGGCTCTTAGAAGAGAGGTGCTCAGGGTCCTCAGGGTCAGATGCCCTCCTGGGACGGGGTCTTTGGCCTCGGGGCTCTCCCCATTGCCTCCTCCCTGAGCCTACTGGGCTCTCTGTGGAAGGTCAACCAGGGCTACTGTGGGTAAGCCTGCAGGGCAGGTCGCTGAGCTCTGGCCCCACGGCCTCCTTGCCAGGCTGGTGGGTATCTGGAAGGCTCTGCTTTCAGCCAGAGGAGCCCCTCTCGACCCCTTTGTAGATGTCCCCCTGTGCCCACTCCCCATCCCACAGCCTTTGCTTAAAGGTGTGCTAGTCTGGATGTCCCTGCTGTCATCTGCAGCTGGGCCCCAGGCCAGGGAGCCCCTGGTCTTGGCCTCCTTACCCCAGCCAGGCAAATCTTTGGACACAGCCACACAACCTGGCTCCTGGTTTCTCTCCGTGTGGGGGTCTCAGAGGGGAGGTGGCCATGGATACGTGGGCAGCGGGTGGGGAGGGCCAGAGTGTACACCTGCCAAGTGTCCTACTGCCTGAGAGCTGGGGGCGATAGTGACAGAGGCCAACACCGACACAGATCCTCCTGCCTGAAGCCTGCGCTCTGATGCGTGTGCGTGTGTGTGTGTGTGTGTGTGTGTGTATGTGGGGAGGGAAGGGGGGGAGGATGGGGGGGAGAGAGAGAAGAGGACGAGGAGAGAGGGGGCAGTCAGAGCAATCGGGTGACTGGTCAGGGAGGCCTTGCAGGACGGTTGGGGAAGGTCTCTCAGAGAATGGAGACAGGAGAGTAAGGGGCCAGTGGGCCCAGGGGACTGCCTGGGGCGCAGGCCGGGAAGGTTTCAGGGCCAGGAATGGTGAGGCAGGAAGCACACAGGTGGGAGCAGGTGGCGGGTGAGCCCGGTGGCAGTAGCAGAAGTCAGGCCCTCACATTGTGGTGAGGACTTGGGCCCCAGAAAAAGTGCTGGAGTGCTGTCTTGGGCAGGTGGAGCGGGAGGCCTGCCACCATCCGGGTGTCAGGTGATGGCAGCTCACACCTTGGAGGAGTCTGAGGAGGGGCGGGAAGTGGCCAGGGACATTCTGGGTGTGTGGGACACAGAGGAAGAGCTAACGATGCCTCCCTGTGGCCGAGTGAAGACATAGCAGGTGGGAGGGACAAGGAGGCCAGTGGCCTTTGGAGGAGGTGGGGCCAGGACGCGCCCCCCCCCTCCCATGCTAATGTGAGTTCAGACAGACACCAAGGAGGCAGAAGTCCAAAGTCCAAAGGGAGGGAAGACCCGGTGAGCGCCATCCGAGAGTTCTCCAGGTGCGTGAGGAGTTTAAAACAACTAGGCACCGGAGAAGGTCACCTGGCACCAGGACTTGTCAGGTTCAAGGTGGGAGCTTGGGCATCCAGGAGAGATGGGCAGGAGTGGTCTGAAGGGACATGGCAAGGAGGCTGGGAGCAGACTGAACAGGTGCTGGCAGAAGCAGCCTGGGGACAGGGCACAGGGAGCCAAGAGCCATGTCCTGCCTGTGAGGGGTTGGTCTGGGGGGAAGCTGGAGGGGTATGGTGGAGGGGGTCTAGGAGAGAAGCCAGGGGAGCGTCTGTCATAGCACGTGGGTGACTCAGTGGGGACCCAGATCTGTGAGGCTACAGAACTCTTCCCCAGGCCCTGGCTGGGTCTGAGCAGGTTCCTGGGTCTCTGGGATCTGCTTACTCCGAGGCCTGGGCCAGGCCCAGAAAGCAGGGGTCAGCTCAGGAGCCGAGTGACCCCAGACCTCATCCCTTCCCTCTAGACCCTGGGCCTTGACTTGTAAAGGGAAGGGCTTGGAATGCCCAGTGACTGGGGCCTTAGGGTGTCAAGGGCACATTCTGGAACTGGGCAGTGTGAAGCGTTAGCAGCCTTCCCTCACTTTTCTGCCACAACGAATTGTTTTATTTTACACATCGGGCCCAAGACTTTTTGAAAAGACTAAACTGCTAAGACAACCCAGCCCTGGACCAAGAGGTATTTAAGGGCTTTCTGACCTGACAGTCTGTTTGTCCCCCTTTTTCCCTGCTGAGGAGCCCTCTTCCAGAGAGAAAGCACAGAAGAGCCAAGGGGGAAAATGTCAAAGCCATACACCTTGGCAGTGACACTTTTGGAGAGAGGTCGGGACCAGAGAGAGAAGAGCAGGGGAAGGCGCATTTCCTTAGCTTACTTGGTGAGGGGTTGACAAACACTGACTCGATTTTCTTATTTAAAGTTACAGTGGCAACCACCAGAAGAGCTAAAAATAATCCTTTAACTAGCAAAAAAACTGGAGGCGGCGGTGGAGAGAGGTGGAAGGAAGGAAGGTGAGCTGAGTGTGCCAGGTTTCAGAGTCAGGAAGTACTATTTAAAGTTGGAGGATCAAGATTTCATGAACACCACGGGAGGAGGAAATGGAATGGTTAAAAGCAGAAGGGACAGGACTGGGAAGGGGAGATTTCTCACCTTACATCCTATGGTTAAACAATATCTTTGCAGTGGGCTTTATTTGCTTATTTATTGGTGCTGGAAGCTGAGCTCGGCGGTATCCTCCCACTGAGCTATAGGTCCAGCTTTTTTTTTTCTTTCTTTTTGTATCAGGGATGGAACCAGGGCGCTTAACCACGTCGGAGAGTGCTCCAGGTGCTCCAGAGTGCTCTAGCCCTTTTTATTTTTGGGGACAAGGTCTCACTAAATTGCTGAGGGCCTTGTTAGGTTGCTGAGGCTGGCTTTGAGCTTGTGAACCTCCTGCCTCAGCCTCTGGAGTCCTTGGGATCACAGGAGTGCACCACCACGTCTAGCTCGGATTCATTTTACAATTAATAGAATGGGCAAAAATTTAAGTGATGAGCAGGATTCGATGAGCTAACGGAAAACAGACTGGGGCCAGCTGGCCCTGAGGGTCCCTGGGGTCTGGCTGGCAGCAGGGGGAAGGCCTTGGAACTGCCCCAAGCAGGGAGAAAGGTGGGTCTCTCTGGCTTTGAGGACCAAAAGGGTGGGCCTGAGGGGTGTGGCTGAAAGCATCCTCTCCTGGCCCCTGTGGGGCTCTGGGAGGCTCTGGGTCTGGGATTTAAGCTCACAAGCCTGCACCTGGTGGCCCCACCTGCGTCTTGCAGGGTTTCAGGATTTTCCCTGCAGACAATCTAGGTGTGCAGAAGCAGGAAGACAGTCTGACCCCACTCGAGTTCCTGGACTGCCAGCTGCCATCACGGTCGATGGAAATATCTGGTGTCCCCTGGAACATGCTGTTCCATGGTCCTACCTGGCCCATCAGTGTCAGGGTTTTTATCTCGGTACTGTTGGCATTTCAGGTCAGAGAATTCTTTGTTGTGGGCTGTCCTGTGCACTGTAGGGTGTTTCACTGGGTGCCAGGAGCACCACCCAAGTGATACAATTAAAAAAATGCCTCCATATATTACCGAGTGTCCCCAGAGGGCAAAATGGTCCCAGCTGTGAAGCACTGGTGACAGTGACCAAGTCAGATCAGGTGATAGCACATGTGTCCTCAGATAGTGATTAAATAAAGCCCAGGGCTCTCTGTGGCCAGCTCCTCCTGAAATCCTGAGCACCAGACTGCAGAAGTGGGGTGGACTCCGTGTCTCCTGGTGCTCCCCTCCAGGGGCCACGGGCACATGACCAGAGAGCACATCTTTAAAGTGACCCAGCTCAGCGGCCAGGCCCTCGGCCCCTTGTCTCCTGCGCTGGCCTGCACCAGTGTCCACATTCCACTTCCTCTCCTCTGCCTCTCCCTCCTCCCATTCTTTCTCCTCACTTTTTGGAGCACAATATTAAAGGATCCATTTGATTGCCTTTTCTATTTATTGGATGGAGTTACTTCTTCCTTATTTTAAATAATTTTAAAGTTAGAGGAATGGAAAGTTTATTATTTTTGTTTCATTTGTGGTGCTGGGGATTGAACCAGGCACTCTACTACCTCTGAGCTACCTCCCCAGCCCTAAAAATAAATTGTTTTCTTTAAAACAAAACAAATGGTCTTCTGCCTATATAGATGGTGACTTTTATGTAGGAGGTCAGGGCTCATCCCTGTGACCCTGAGACCTTCAGTCAGGAGGGAAGCACTTGTCCAGGACCAGCAGGGTCAAGGCCCCAGCTCTGGGGGCATTTCCTGTTTGGTTGTCTCTTGGCCCCTTCCTCATCTTGCACTTTTGGAATCTTTCTACTTTTCTTTCCCTTTTCTGTTGCAACATTAAGGAGGGGGAGAAGCTGGTTAAGAAAGTTGGCTGAAAACAGATAAGATAGTGGTCAAGGGCTTGGATTTAAAAGAGACACTTTTTTTTCTTCTTGTCCAGACTGTTTTTTTTGTTTTTTTTTTTTAAATAACCCTAGTAAATCGTATAGGGGCTGCAATTCACATTTAAATGTAAGGCATCTCACCGCAGGTGGACCTCAGTGGGAACCCTCCTTGCCCCACGGTCCCACCCCTTCCACGTGGGCCTCAGGCAGCTCTAGGCCTTCCACCAGCCCAGGACACTCACTATTTGGCAGAATCGTTGAGCTGATACTCCCGAGACCGGTTGAAGCACTCTTGGATCCCTGAGTCGCCCCAGAGTCGTATCATAGCGGAAAGCAGCTCTGCAGAGAAGGGCTCAGTGTCTTCCATACGACTCACCACGTCACACACCATCTTGGCATCGGCCTGTGAGGAAAGAGGGACGCAGGGTTCTGAGTCCTTGATGGGATTCTATCCAGACCAGGGACCTGGCCAGCTCGGGGCAGTGGGCGGCTCTGAGTGCCCTGTACCTCAGGACACACACCTGTCTGGAGCCTTCCACCTCAACCAGGTTCTAATGCAGCAAGACACCCTGCCTGAGCAGTGGGGGAGAAGGGGGCTCTGTCCGCTCTGCCACTCAACTCAGAAGTTCTGCTTTGAAAACTGGGCTTTTGCTCAGCATTTGTTTTGGGGGAAAAAGTTTAAAAAACAATGCCCTTGGCTAAAATTGTAATTCCTTTATTTCCTACCCCAGTGGAGCACCGTCTCTCTTGGAGAAGATTTCCTGGTTGGCTGAGGGGCTGGGCCCCAGGGGGGCTGCACCCTAGTGGTGAGGGACCAGAGGGGTTGGTTTTAAGTTAGTGCAGAGTTCTCATGCCAACTACACCTCGGAACATAGGCTCTTAAGTTTAAATTTGATATTAATAATCTTTTTTTACATCTATGATCTGTGGTGACTGGGAGAAGCCCAGACCTGCTTACACCTGGGAAGGTACAGGGCCGAGCTGGGAGCCTGGGAGTGCTCGCCCTCTCTGCTTCCTCCCTCCTGGTCTGAGGGGGTGAGCGGAGTCTGCTTAAGGCACACACCTTTGTGTAGGCTGAGACTCTCTTGGAACTACAGAAAAAGCACTGCATAATTCATAGGTTTCTCCCCACTTCCCCTCACCTAGGGTACCAAATGGGGGTCACCCGTTTTCAAAGACCATAATCAAGTACACGTGACATCAAGACCAGGAGTGCAGTGTTCTCGGAGGACTCAGAAGGCTCTTGGAGAAGTCATAGGATGGCGCTGTCACCACCACCTTCCTTGCACACGCAGGTAGCACTTTACAGTTTGCCTCGAGGAGCTGTGGGAGCCACGTGAAGAGGTTGATTCTTCATGCTCCCCTGTCTGCGCCCCCTGCCCTGCATAACCACTGCTGCTCCCTGGACGCAGGATGTATTTCCTGCTTTCCGGGCTTGGTGGCTATAGGACTTGCTTTGGCCCACAGAATACAGTGAGGGTGGCAGTGTGTAAATCCCTAATCCCTAAGAGGCCTTGAGTGCTTCTGCTGCTCCCCTGGCCTCTGTCACAGCTTTCCATCACTGTGACAAAATACCTGCGATAAATAATTTAAAAGGAGAAAAGACTGATTTTGGCTCACAGTTTTAGAGGCTTTAGTCCATGGCCGCTTGGCCAAACCACTCTGGGTCTGTGTCTAGGCCGCGCATGGCGGAAGCAGGACATGGTAAGCAAAGCTGCTCAACTGGCCTCCCTCTAGGCCCCGCCTCTCACCAGGCCCCACCTCCCACCCGGCCCGGCCTCTTGAGGCTGCACCACCACCTCCCACTGGTGCCATTGTTTGGGGACCAAGCCTTCATTCAACACAGGAGCTTTTGGGACATTCGGGAGCCAGACCATAACACCATGGATATTCCTGGATTCTCATTCCTCCCAGGAAGAGGACTTGGGATGCCTGGGCACAGTTGAGTTGCCCTGATTTCTGGGCCTTGACCAAGCTAAGCAGCTGAGTTTAGGAGAGCCTTGTCCCATGGCATGGCTATGGTTGCAGCTAGTGAATGCAGCAGGCACTGGCAGTAGTCAAAGTCAGGCCTTCTGAGCCGGGTGGGGTAGCACACACCTGTAATTCCAGCGGCTTGGGAGGCTGAGGCAAGAGGATTGCTAGTTCAAAGCCAGCCTCGGCAAACATGAGGCACTAAGCAACTCAGTGAGATCCTGTCTCTAAAGAAAATACAAAATAGGGCTGGGGATGGATGGGGCTCAGCGGTCGGGTACCCCTGAGTTCAATCCCTGGTACCAATAAATAAATAAATGAATAAATAAATAAAAATAAATAAATAAAATAAAAAGTCAGGCCTTCTGTGTGCAAGTGCCAGAAACTGCTCCTAAGGGGCCACAGAAAGGGTGAGAGGGCCCAGCCCTGAGGGCCTGAATACCTTGACATTTTCCTGCTTCTTCCTAGTATCTGTATTCTTAGAGGTTTTTCCATGGGTTGGGGGACATAGGTCCCCAGTGACTCTGTGGACACACCCACTTAAAAACAAAAAACAAAAAACAGGGCAAGTTTATTACCAGGGATTGAACCCAGGGGCACTTAACCACTGAGCCACATCCCCAGCCCATTTTTTTTTATTTTGAGATGGGGTCTCATTAAGTTGCTCAAGGTCTTGCTAATTGCCGAGGCTGGCTTTGAACCTGTAATCCCTCCTGCTTTATCCTCCCCAAATGCTGGGATTACAGGCATGTGCCACCATGCCCAGCAAGTTTGTCCTAGTGGGTAAGAAGCATAGCATTGGGGGGCAGGTCCAAGGGTGGGTATAGGCTAAAGTGGGCCCCAAGGAGGTCCACCTGGGCTCCTGGGCTGGGGTCAGTGCCCTGTGCTCCCGGGTCCCATCTTCCAGTTGCCTTTCCCCATTTTAGCCTGCACGTGCCCTGGAACTCACAGTGGCACTGAGCCCCTGCTGGGCTGGGAGTGGGGTGTGACAGGCCCACATCTCCCTGACCTCATGGGCTCTCAAGAGTAGGGTTGCTCTGTCCATGGGTGCATTATGATCATCAGAGAATTAATTACCCTGCTGCAGGCCCTTTCAACCCAACCCGCCCGTGAAGCTAGAGGAGAGAGACAGCCCAGCCCAGGGTGGCTTAGGAAGTGAGTGGGAGGTGCTACACATCCCCAAGGTGTTCTTTGGGGTGGGAGAAACAAAGAAAATGAGGTCAGCACCTGGAAAGGTTGGTGACCAATAAAAGATTCTGTACAAAAGGCTGGTGGGGCCAAAGCCTTCTTGGAGACTTGCAGAATAGAGCTGTCTGGCTAAGTAGCTATTTTCATGTCAGAGCCTGACCACTGCTGAAGGGTGATGGGAAACTTTTGGTAGCTCTGCCCTGGGAAGGGAGGTGCCATTGGAGTGGAGGCTGGAAGGGCAGCCCACCGTGCTAATCCAGATACAGTGTCTTGGGGACAATGTACCAAACACAGTGGCCCTGACAGGAAGGGCTGCTCACCAAGGAAGCCTGGGATCAGGACCGGTCCTGGAGAGCTGGGCCTGAGCCCTGGGTGCTCCTGGCAGGCACCCACAGTCAGTGAGGGGAGTGTCCCAGATCTGTGCAACGAGTGAGAGGGAACAGGTCAGGGTTCAGGGGCCATGGGGCAGGCCAGGCCAGACCTCTGCTGGGTAAGAAGGTCCTGATGCAATCTAAGTGCAATGAGAGCCATGCCACCCCGTCAAGGCCACATGGGACACTCCAGAGGTGACAAGTGAACTGTGGATCTCCTGTGAAGCCTTTGTCCTTCCCCATCTGATCCTCCAGGTCTGACCTGGAACTCTGTGATCCCCACTGCAATGGGGTGTGTTCTCCTCCAGCTCAGGGAACACTGGCCAAGGCGTCTCCTGTGACCCTCCAGTGGGCAGCCCAGGGTGGAGTCTGCCTCCCAGCTTCCCGGAGGTGGGCAGGGCAGGAGAGGCCTGGGGGTGACAGCCCCGGTCTTTGCCCCTTTTCCTGCTCCCTCTGTGCCTTCCCCAGGTCACTACACAGACAGCGCTGCCATGGCCCCAAAGGCTCAGACCCGGACCAGGAGCTCCGCTGGTTTCACTGCTCCCTCCCGTTGCCTGTTTCCTGTCTGTGTCCCACACAGTGGGGGGCCATTAGTCTCCTCTCAACATCACGGCTCCCCTTCTCCTTTAGAAAAAGAACCCAATGTTTTTTTTCTTTTTTTAAGTACTGGGAATTGAACCCAGGGGCGCTCTACCACTGAGCCACATCCGCAGCCCTTTATGTTTTTAGGTTCTCACTAAGTTGCTTAAGGCCTTGCTAAGTTGCTGAGGCTGGCTGAACTCGGGATCCTCCTGCTGCAACCCAAGTTGCTAGGGTTATAGGTGTGCATCACTGTGCCCAGCCCCAATATTTTTTTTAAAAAATCTGGGTATAATCGCATCCAACTACGAGACTCTGTTTCCCAATTTTATTGCAGTTATGATCACATGATAAGTTATCCACAATGAGAGGTCAGCGGAAGTCCAGGGAGGTCTCTGGAAATGCATTTTAAAGAGAAGGGGCAGCTTTTTCCTCTTGCTTCATCTCTCCCAATGCCCAGAACTTATGAGATGGCTGGAGCACTTGTAGCCAACTTAAATCATGAAGACAAGGTCCTCAACCTAGGGACAGTGACACAGTGATCTAAAAACAGCGTAGGTCCTTAAAAGCCTTGTGGAAACTCCATACCATCTGGAGTCATGCTAACACTATTTTAAGTGTTTGGTTTAAAAAAAAACCACACACACACACTCAAAAATAAAATTGTGTCTTATTTAAGCCACTATTTTTTCACATATTTTCAGGGTCTCCAGTATTCACAGTCAGACCTAATCTGAGTGGATACGACAACTGTCCCTGTTGAAGCTCTTAGAATAGTTCCCATCATCCCTCAACTCCAAATTCTTCACCATGGCCCACAGAGCTCCTGCCTACCTCTCTGCACCCTCTCCCTCCCAGCCACACAGTCCTTCTTTCCATTCCCCAAGTAAACTGCTAATGCCACCCCAGGCTCTCCATTTGAGCAGAACACCTTTCTCTACCTCGCCCCATCTCAGATGTCACCTCCCTGGATGGTCTCTCCCTCCACGCACTGCCATTCCCTGTCGCGGCTGGTGCTATATGCCCATTCCTCAGGGCAGCGCTAGCCTCCTAATTCCCAGGTTACCTTGGGTCACGCAGGGTGCTTTGTACATAGTTGGTGCCCAGAAAGCTTGCGGGATGTGGGATCTGTGGTGTTTTGATATCCGGCATGGCTTACCGCCAACAGCCCTGGACCTGCATCTCAGACAAGGGTGGGCCGGATTGACCTCCTAACTGCTGGGGTGAGGCTTTGAGAGTTGGGCCTCTGTGTGTGGCTGGAGCATGAAGGTGAAGCCTCATGAATAGGACCTTA